TTGAACGCGTGCGTTCGAAAATTATCAGCGCGCTAAGCACCTCAGTTTCTCGGCTTGTCGACGTGTCAGGTAGTCGTCACCGTCTATCATGAATTGCTATGCGCCACAAAAATTTGGTGAATCCCACCACTTACCTTCCGTCCATATTACGCACACGAGATACAGAGTTTTCGGTATGGCCTGAAATATTTTACTTGGCTTCAGAAGCGGGGTCATATTCACCAACGAAATTCGCCATTGGGCTGACATTTCTAAAGAAACCAAGGAGAAACGTGTACCCCAATGGCAAAGTCGGTTATTTAAAATACAATTCCTTGGAAACATATCTTCAAAGTGATAGTGCCTTACTCGTCCCCAGCGCAGTCAAAATAAAGTAGGCAACAGATACCCCAACAATTAACAGACGACGTTTGTGGAGATCCTTCGCTGCATGTCGGTAACGGAATCCGGCCATGTATAGGAAAGAAGACGACGTGAGAAGAGTTGAAACAGCCTTAACAAAGTGCCCGGTTTCAGGCTTCGTCCCACTAGTGACTTATCAATGAAGTCTCTATCAAATACGAGTGGTAAAGTACCTGAGTCAGTTCCCTCTTCTTCTGTCTCGTCTTTATCTGTCTCTTTATAGCGCAATAGCAGCAATTTCGCAGCGGGAAAAACCGGCGCTCACTGCATGCATCGACCATCCCCACGTTTCACGTTGGTCTAAGGTGCTGAAACACCCTTCCCTACACTTTTAAAAAATAGTTAGTAAAAAGGTAGCAACTGCAAGCAAGTAGATAGTAACTGCAGCGGTTGCTACCTTTCTTCGACCGTTACTACCCTTTTGCTACCTGTTTACTACCTACGTTAGTAAACAGTTGCTAGCTACGAACATTACTAACTTTTTGCAACCTCCTTACTACCTATGTTAGTAAACAGTTAGTAACTGATACGAAAGAGGTAGTAACTGCAGCCGTGACAACCTTTCATGCCCCGTTACTACCTCTTCGCTACCCGGCTTTTGACTATCTAATCCAAAATATTGTGTGAATGCTATTCTGATAATTTATGAGAGGAATTGTCTCGACGTATTATCATTAAACTGAAAAATGGCACAGAAGGTATCTATAGATCAAGAAAATATATATATTTTTTTCAAATTATGCAACCGAGATATGTAAACGTCATTCTGATATTGTCGAAACGGAGAAGTACAAGTTAACTAACCATAAGCAAGTGCTACACGCGTCGTAATAGACAATTACAACAAACTTAGTAAATACAGCACATATTAACAAGACCGACAGATCAAAATAACCAGACAGTCACATATAGCCTCAAGGACAGTCGCAGTTAATTCACTGTGGCGTGTCTCCGAATATCATCATTGTTTTGGCGCGTCAAAACCCCAAAACGATTATTACCTTTTAAACGCTGATATATTAGTCATGTTAAGCATTCAAATGCACTGAAAATGAATTCGGTACCTTGTCCGGCCACTGTACATAATGCATATTTGTGGCCATTTTATAATAAATAAATATAACATATAATTTTCTATAAGTAGGGCTTATTAAAAGTCTTCTGCTACGTCACCAAACAAACGTAAGCAGGTAGTATATTATAGTGCTAGCAATTTCTATTTGTTAAATTTCATCCTGAAACTAGAGCCGTAACAGCTACTGACTCCTGGCAGTAACAACAGAGGTAGTAACTATTACCACCCTTGCCGTTACTAACTGCACTTACTACCAGGGATGTAACATATGTGACAAATCATTACTACCCCAACGTTAGCAAGTTCTGCCACCTTTTTCTAAGAGTGTAGATGCTTCGCCCATTGCTAGCTTCTTTTTTTAAAATTATTTGAATATATTGCAGGCCATTCACGGCACATGCAAGAGTGGGAACATTAAAATACATACAAGAACAATGCAAAAATACATTCACGAACAATACATAAAAGAACAATGCAGATTGGACGCACTGCATTGGGTGAATGAATGATTCGGTGGTGTTACAACACGCAGTATTATTATTTAGGCTCTTTCAGCGGTGAATCCCCGTCTGTGAACAGCATTTTTATGTCTGTAGATTGTCATAAATAGTACTAAAAGCGGAGACACGTATACGTGGACATACCTACGATACAGGGTTGTCGTCCCGTCCATTCCCGCGGAAGCAGATCGGAGGATGCAACCAAATACTTTATCTGTTTATTGGTCAGTCACAGCTGCCCGCACAATGTAGGCCCTCTTTCATCACCTGCACCACTGCCCACAAAAAATAAAATAAAAATAAAAACAGTTAAATGGTCTCTCATGCTTTAGCAAAAAGGCTGGAGCGCCACAAATATTTTGCTTTGTTAGGTCTCCTATGCATTCGCCCAAGGCAGTCCGAAGACTACCAGACATCTTCTTTATCTCAGTCGATATAGTATTGATGATCCCTCGCCCCTCTTCGAAAACTGTCTGCACCTAACGGGGTTTCTGCCCTGTTTACTGGATCCAAGGCATTGCAAGCTGGACACATCTGACCTTGCTTTGCACCACTGTGATCGGCACATCTTCGACAAAGTGATTACATGTGATGACGTCATCACGTGATGTTACGACCATGATGTGACGTCCTGATCATATACCAAGTTTTGGTGGTCTGTGACGTCAGGATGCGATGATTACACCGACGTCACCGACAGTTAACTTTGGCGTTAGAAAGGGCGCATAAGTTTTTCGCCGTAAAAACAGAAAGGAAGTCGTGAGGCCACGTTTGAGGACAACGTTTAATTTTGTGGCCGTTGCCGTTCTTGACGCTGCAACTTCATGCATGACAACCCGTCTCACTCTGGTACTTAATGTTGCCCGGCATTTGCGCGCATTCTACACTTTTCTTAACCTACCTTGAGTGTATTTTACCCTACCTTGAGTGTATTTTCTTACCCTACCTCGAGTGTTCTGTGGTAACCAACTAGGCATGACTGTTGATAAACTTTTTGAGGGCACAAAAGAACGCGGGGGACAGAGGAACCGGGACCACGGTCGCGAAATAATTTGCTGTTACGTACCATGGCTGTTCCGCTGTCTCCTCTTTTAGGCTTTGTGCATCGTCGTCAAAAAGCCGCACTAAGTCACCAGTCCAAAATTATAAATTTTCCGTGGTACTCGATACATCGTGCCGTTCCTTTTGTGCCTGATTCCATATCACCCGTGCCTGTGGTGCGGCGTCATGCCTGTCCCTGGCGTTTCAGTGCAGTCACAAACCAATGTTGGAAATACAGATTTGGTGTTTTTGAGGGAGAGACAAAAGAAGGAGAAAAGGGGGAGGTATGGAGAGGTGTACGAACGTTACTGTGCCTGGTGTGTCGGCCCAACTGATCGCATTCAGGAGGAAAAGAGGAGAAGGATAAAATGTAGTAAAGGCAGAAATGTCACGCAGACGCGCCTCTTACGCTGGGCTCCAAAGATCAAGTGTTGTGTGGTAATCAAGGTTTAAGCAGTGGTCATATAAACGCTCGAGTATCACACCAATACGCACGCACGCACATACACAAAAGCTATATTGAAGATTTTGCGAAGATCTTTGAAGTTCAGAATTAACAGCAATGCTTTCGAGCCGCGTTGTGCCTTGCCATGGGTTGATATTGTACTGCAAGCCCCCACGGCACGATAGGTGTAGCCCTTTTTTATGAGACTGTGAGAAGAGACAACGAGCCGTATAACTGACGAGCACTCACTGAAGCGACAGTGCGTAAGGACTGCGTCATCAGGTGCATTACGTACAAAACTCTTGGGTGAGCTCATATAGTGAATTTTGCTCTTTGAATCAGTTTTGTGTTAGCTACGTCAAGTCTTGCCATTGTACGCATTCCCTGGATTGCCTAGTTTTTTCAATCCCTGAATATATACAAGTCGAAATTTGAATGAAAACTTGCATGTGATCTAGAAAAGCAGCTTTTTGTTTACTGAACACTGGATGAACTGATAATGAAGGAAACGGGAAGAGCTAGAAAAAAAATTACACACATTCACCGCCCTGTTCAATTAAGAAGCGGTACATGTAAGCAATGGTTGATTGCTTGGCAGGCTATGCCAGGTGCTGCTATAATCGTATGCACATTTCTCACAGAGGCAATGCTCGCATCGAAAAGATTGGCACGCGAACATTTTAGCTATCTCCGCTTTTAAAGAACCAGCAGTGTGTTCGTAGAGAGAAACACAGAGATAGGCTTTTTATCTTGGTTTCTTCAGTTTTTGAAGAACTCCGCCAAGAAATGAAACAGCACGCTGCCATCATTTCAGCACATATTTTCAAAAATGTGTCGACAACTCGTTTCACATCTATCAAGCCTGGACACAAAGGTGTCTTTCAATACATGCCAAGGAGGGAAAAAAGTTTTCGATCATTGCCCGACGGCTAAACGATCGCTCCATGATTCGATCTCTCAGCACTCGAATCAGGCACAAAGGACGAGTGCTTGCTCGCTAAAAGTGAGGCAGAAAAGAAGAAAAGAACAGCATCGAATCTTTGTCGGAGCGAGTTGGCAGAAGTGTCACTGTGACGCACAGGTAACGCAGAAGCGTCGGCTGTGGTAGTGAGGGCGGGGAAGGCTTGCAGTATTGCGCCGGGGAGGCAAAGCGGGCCAGGGGGAAAGTACAACCTTTCGGAAGGCGATGGGCTGCGCGAAAGCGGGAGATGCGAAGGGTGGGCGGCGGAAGTGGTTGTGCTGGTGGGCAGTGGTTGGGGGAGAGACGGGCTGTGTGTGAACGAAGGTGAGACGCACAACACAGCAGGCACGGTCGCCCGCACTGCTGCCTAGATCTGGCCGGGGTTCCGCCAGACGCCTGGGCTCCAGCCGACCCATTATCGATCCCAAGAAGAGCTGCGCGCGCAGCCAGCAGGCTTCTTGCTCGTGGGCCACGCACTGAAGAGTGCGAGAGGAAAGGGAGAAGTGGGCTGCTTTTTTTCGTGCCCGCCACTCCGGAGCAGCGTCGTCAAACGAGAAGAACCCGCGGAGAGGCGCAGCGCGGTGAAACGGCCCAGCGAGCAGCGCGACAACAGCTGGCCACGACAGCTGCAACAATGTCTTCGTCCTCAGCGGTCGTCGATCTGAACGTGGGCGGCACCGCGTACAGCGCGTCGCGCGAGACCCTGTCCCGCTGCCCCGTGCTCGGCGAGCTGCTCGACAGCGGCCCTCGTGACTCGCAGGGCCGTGTCTTCGTTGACAGGGACGGTGCTCTGTTCCGCTTCATCCTGGACTTCCTTCGGTCGGGCCGCCTGCTGCTGCCCGAGGAGTTCCGCGAACTGGCAAGGCTCAAGGCCGAGGCCAAGCACTTCCGCCTCGATGCCCTGGTCACCTGCCTGTCGGCCACGTCGGATGTGCCACCGCCGTTCCCGGGCCAGCCGGGCTACATCACGCTCGGCTACCGTGGGACGTTCGCGTTCGGCCGCGACGGCCTGGCGGACGTCAAGTTCCGCAAGCTGACGCGCATCCTCATTTGCGGCAAGGTGACCATGTGCCGCGAAGTGTTCGGCGACACGCTGAACGAGTCGCGCGATCCCGACCGCGGCCAGGACGACCGGTACACGTCGCGCTTCTTCCTCAAGCACAACTCCCTGGAGCAGGCGTTCGACTGCCTCCAGGAGTCGCGGTTCCGCTGCGTGTGCGCCTGCGGCACCAGCACCTCGTGCGGGGGCGGGAACGAGCCGCTCAAGCCGGGCGTCGACTCCGAGGAGAACCGCTGGAACCACTACAATGAGTTTGTGTTTGTGCGCCCCTAAGGAACACTGGAGGGAGAGAGTGTGTCCAGGAGCGAAGGCGTTCTGCGCAGTTGGGTCACAGTGACGGCGCCGGCCGATTTCCCGACCAACGGAGCATATCATTTGTCTTTTAGAGACAGTTCCGCCTGTTGCGCCTTTCACGGTCGCCAGCACGTGGTGCAATGTCGAATGGTAGCTCTTTCATTGCTTTATCGGGTGGATACTACTCCGTCGAACACGATATTTTATTGTCTCTGGTTCCAACAAATTGGTGGTTGATCGAGTGATTCGTGTTAGTGGTGCAACCAGTATCCATGTGAACGAGCTGTCTTTTGAACGACCTAACTCTCATGCTGATCTTTCTAACAGGAGAGCTAATGTTATCTTGAATACTCTAGCACAGAAACGCAATCCGTGGCTGCGCCGCTGATCAGCGCATCGATTGCTTTTAATTAGGAGTCTCTCTTAAAGTTGCGGTTGTGGTAGCTTCGACAAAACGAACGTTGTTTACGGAACCAGTGGCTTTCTAGTAAATTCATTTGCGAAGTTTATCAGTAGAGTAGAACGACCATGGTAGATGTTTCTGTGCAAGCGTACCGCTGCCACAATGGATTCGTGCGGCGTGATTCAACTGGAGGAGTACGAACAAGCGATGCGTGGTCAGAGTATTCCTCGGAGATTAGCTGTGGCCAAATGTATTATAGTGTGGATTTTAGTCGGCTTCCAGCTGACGTACGGAGACCAGGTACACCATGTATAATATTCTGGCAGTTTATTTTTTGTCAACATTCTGGTCGAAGTACCACAGCCAGAAACAAAGTTCACAAATCCTACGCCTTTGTCAGAAATTTGAAGCCTTTTCTACCCAATATCTGATGTAAAATAGCTCTTAATGCTGTCAAACTTGCAGATGATTAAGTATCAGCTTTTCCAAAGTTGAGTTGGAATCGGGTGTGTTTTTTTCTACAAGGTCTATGGCTTATGTGTTTTCTAGTGGCCCTGAGCAGTTACGATGATGTCAACACGAACACTCGTTCTGGTACACTGTGCACAATCACGATGGTTGTATTTCATTCACAACTAACGTTACTTGCGAATCATTACAGTTGTTCTCTTTATCCACGTATTCGCAAAAAGAGTTTCTTTCTCGTGAAAAGAGTTCACTGAGCCTGCGTCTCCTGTCTCTATACCGTAGCCAGCGTAACCATTGGCAGTGAAGGCTTCTTTAGTTCATGCTGAATGTAAGTCCCATGTTCATTTAACAGCATCCTTGAACCTTTTCCAAAGCACGCGCGTAGAAGACTGTCTTGCAAAAAAAAAAAAAAAACTGCTAGTATGTACAACACCACAGGGCTCTTACGTGCTTGCTGAAAGTGGTTCAGTACACCTGTAGCAGTACTATTAACATATTATATTACAATGTATTGCCTAAACATACGTATCGACAAATTATTAGATTACCTTTTAGCATTCCTAGTTATCCAATCTGAAGGTGATCCTTGAAATGTGCAAGCACTTCGTTTCTTTTGTTACAAAAGCGACTCGCATGTTGTTTTTTCCACCCCTAGTAAGGATAAAAAAGAAGTTAATCACCAAACAAATACCGAAAATATTGAAATGCGCTTCAAAACATTTATTTAGGAGAAATTTGATGAAGAATCGAAGTGATTTGATCTTATCCCTCAGCAGTGCGCATAATAACGCGCTGCCGCGAACAAGCCATTCAAAATTTAGTCCCCAATGAAAGTATTACTCTCTACAACTTTCAGCTCTTCCACTTCTTTCCTTCGTTTTTCGATTAGGCTACTCTCACTTCTTTCCCTCTTAGGGCATAAGGAATGGTTGTATCTAACATGTATAATTAACTGTGAGAAAACTCTCTTAACCGTTGAAAAGAGTCAACTTGTCCTTCAAGGCGTTATCTTCAACTGTATGTCTTATGCGTCCGGTAATTTTTGTCGTATACCCCCAGCGCTTAAGAAAAACCAACTACCCCTTCAGTGTAAGTGTTGATATAAACTTGCACGCTTTGCTGAAAGTGTTATCCTGGCTGATCACTCGGTACGTTTCTCGTGCTGGATTATAAATATAATATACACATTGATGAAGATGCTCTTCTTCTTAAGTCTAGAGGGTCGAATTACTTCGGTCATTTATAGTAACTTTGCAAAAGCATTTTGCAGTTTCGCTTAACTGGAGGAAGCAACTTCAGTTGATGCCATGTTCGTCTACCCCTTTTCACATTTATTCATTTGTTCCTCCACTAGTGGTACTCAGCTTGAAAATCCTTCGTTCATTGTTATATGACAATTGCGATCTATCCAGATTGTATGGTCAACTACTACCCATTTCTCGCATTGCTTATTTTTGTTTAAAAATGAATGTCGCCATAGATTTTATTCGAAGGCGTCGCAAAACGGCTTCAAGCAAGTTGGTCTGGAGCAAGGGCCTTAAAAAATCAAGGACCATAAACACGCTTTCGCCATCCGAAGTAGTTAACATCTTTGAACAGCGAAAGGCAATCTGTTTCAATCTAAATATAAGGGAAAAAAAACAAGGATAACACGAACCTCGGACATTTGCAGTCACTGTAACTCGCGTACTGTTTATCTATCTACATTACACAAACTGCCTGTTTCACTATACGGCATTGTTAACGCGATCCGGCACCTTCAGACTTTGGCACGAAAAAATAAAAGAACAGAAGAAAATAGGCGCGAGATGGTGCAATGAAAGAAAAAAAAATCGAGGACGGAATTTCGCGCATAGGTGAAAGCGAGCGAATGCACAGAAGCCCTCTAGATGCGCTCAATATCCAGGCGCACCCGGTGCCAAGTGGTGTCTGAAGTGGTGAGCTTGTACACGTCACTCCATCATCCGCGACCCTCTTATCCCGTGATGGCTTCTGTGTCGCGCGTGAAGATCGTCGTTCTCTGCTTTGTCTATCACGTTTCCTCTATGGTGTATTGCTCCATTCTCTGTTCACTATAGCGCGATCTTTCTTGGTCTTCCATGGCTTGGTCGGTGTTAATTGGCTCCAAGCACTTCAGCAAAAAGCTTAGCGAGAAGTACATGTTCGGGCCATATCCTTGCCTCTTTATTCAGCTCGATCGAATGTTTGTCGCGCTAGCGCTCTATCTTCGCTGTAAGTTGAAAGCCAAGGCTTTTTGGTAAGCGTGCATTTCATGCTGCTTGCAAACAGAGATAAAGTAGCTATCTCTCTGTGTTATAATTGTTGTAGTTCTCATGACTGTCTAGTTTATAGGCAGATAAACTATATAGTTATTGATCGGTTAAGAATTGGCTATCGTTCTGACTGTAATATTTCGAAAGTAAATACAATGAGACATTGTTTATCATGTTTAACCGACGAAATTGATGTTTTGCGTCGGTAAAGTGCCGGTCTCGGGTCAAATTATTTGCCGCGGACACGAATTGTTGTCAAGTTGCTAACCGAAATGTTAATGTTAGGGTAAACTTGTTCGTTATACGTACCTTAGGCATGGCGGCTTTTTGTTCATCTTCCTTTCTTCGAGGATGTGTTGCCGAAGAATTGGCCGCCGAAGTTATTGTTAACTGGTTGAAGCTTCCACACAGAAAAAAAGTTTAATACTTCTTCCGATAAAACAAACAAACCAGCGCGCTTATTCCAAAGGCAGTGCAGTGCCGTGAGATGGGGGTTCGTAGGAAATTGAAGAGCGGGGACAAAAAATAAGCCACGATCTGTCAAGCACATTCCCTAGCTCCTTTCAGCACCCTGCTTTTCGTTGCGTATTTTGTAAAGGAGGGTGAAATAGTCAAAGAGAAAGTAAACAGTCGTTGTTCAGTAAGAGTGAGAAAGAGAAAAAAAAGGGGGTATTGAGCGCTGAAAACCGTGGCTAAAGCAGAAAGACCGATCAGGAGAGTGAGCACGCAGAGACGTTTAGACGTTTCGCGAGATGAGATCCTGGAATCGATGGCGCGCAGGCATGAGCCCGTAGTTTGTGCACTAAGATTATATATATATATATATATATATATATATATATATATATATATATATATATATATATATATATATATATATATATATAGAGAGAGAGAGAGAGAGAGAGAGAGAGAGAGAGAGAGGGGGGGATCCAAGAATTCGTCGCGTCGATGTCGCCACGTGCGCTCCCCTATAGTCCTAAATATGCGCGGGCTATAGAGTCTACATTCGCGGAGCATCATGAGTTTCCGACTGTCTTGAAGTAAAAGGGCTGCTCATGGAGAGTCTTTTTCATTTCAATATATGTATTTATTTGCCTCTATGGTCGGTACATATCTGTCTTCTTTTGTCTACTTTTGCGAGTGCTTTTCTTTTATTACGATAACGCAACCGTACAGTGTTACTGTGTCTGTTCTCCCAAGTATGCACTTCCTGAAAAAGGGATCCGTTTGTTGCATGAACAGTGACTTTACTCTCAAGTTTGTGACACTCGCTTGTGTAGTGTCATATTTTTTTTTTGGGGGGGGGGGGGGGGGAGCCACGTTTAAGGTTCGACTGAACTTCTGCTCACGCGAAAAGAAAAAAGAAAATAATCCAAGAATAATTTATGCATTCATCTTTCTCAGTGAACGAGTACTCAGTATTTGAAAAGCACGAAGCATGATGTGTCGATGTTCACGTGGTTTAACCTCCAAATCGGGGAAAACGCTATACGAGCGCATAGTGGCTTCTACAAACCAACTCGATTCTCACATCTCATGTTACATGGGGCTGGTGACGTGAGATCTCCCGTTGAATTTAGAGGAATTTGCCGCATTTTCACGAAGGCAAATAGTTAACGCATCCCACAGGTTCGGAAAAGATAGAAGCACACACGGAGCAACCAGGGTTGAAGGTATTTTTCTTTACAGCTACGTTTAAGAGCCAACGTACGAAAGCCGATGCTGTTTGAGGGTGCATGCCAAACTTTGAAAGCGCTAAGCCAGTTAAACTGTACGGAAACAATGAAGTTCTGTATAAAAAGCCAGAATCGCGTTTGGCCTGCACGTTTTATTGGATGTGCAAGTGTTAAATGGTTGTTGAAGTTTCAGCATTGGAAGGAAAAAGAAACAGTGACTTTGTGAAAGGCGAGCACGCTTTATGCATTGTTAGAAACGTTGATGCAGCCTTCTGCAAAGATTTTTAGTGTACATATCTATGGTTGATTGTCGTACCTGTTGACGAAGAGCAAGCTCACTTTGGACATCTTCTAGGATGCGGAGAGAGCTATGTTCTATATTCAATAGTTGATTATTGCACAGCGGCCTGATTTTATTAAACGAAGCTAACTCGCATCCTGACTAGCAGTTTTTCTCACACTTCAAGGAATTCATTGCGTGATAAGGTCCCGATGGCAAATCTTTTTTTATTTATTGACGCTTTGGTAAACTGTCAATTAGAAGCATGTTTCTTTTAATAATTTTCTTTGATTGCGACGTGAAATTCAGTGTTTTGTGCCAGGTCGGCGGCCTGTTGGACAACACCTGTATACACCTGATTATGACGTAGTACATAGACTTGCATTGCTTTCCCCGTGTAAATAAGGCGTTGTTACCAGGTGACGTATGCACCGATTGTGACGCCGTTCTTACTTTGATGAACATGTATACCGACGATACTCATGTCCAACTATGAACAGAAGCAAAATGTGAAATAAATCTGTAGAACATTGGCAAGTTCCTCTATTCGATTCGTAATCTTTTTCTGTTTGTTGTTGTTGTTACTGTTGCTTTCTTTTTTTTCAGAAGGAGGTCTGGGTAGGCAGACAGAGAAATTGTTATCATGAAATACCTCTTTTAATTCCAGTATGTATGAACGCTTGTGGAATAATTCTTGGTAAGTAGAGGCTCGTTAATGCGACCCTCGATAATTCACAAAATCGAATAATGTGGGCGTGTTCTCTGCTCCCGTCACGCATATTAAGTGTCTAACGGCATCAAAGATATTGAACTCTCATTAATTGACCGATTTTTGGCCGAAATTAGGTTAATCAAGAAGATCCTCGGAGCGCACCAAGCACAAACCGCTGTAATGAGTGGGACTAGTGGAAACGCCATTCTCACGCACCTGCAACGAGGCGACGTTGTCCGCATCGCTATCTTCATCAGTTACAGCAACCAATGTTTTGTTAACGTGCGCATCCCGCACACGGCACAGT